TCCCCCCTACTCTCCCTGGCCTTCTGGCTGCAGTTTGACAATCTGTTTGAGGCAGCTCTGCCTCTGTATCTATTTTTGTTCATAAGTTTATAATGTTATTAATTATCCATGAATGAGTGAGATCATGTGGTATTTTTATTAGTGTAGATTTTGTTGAAGATATTCTTAACTCTTTCTGAAAGACATGTTGGTTATTATCTCAGTTATATTAATTTGGTTTAGAGGTTTTCTATCTACAGTTGATTAAAACTCCAAATTAGAGTGCAAAGTATAGTAAGGACAAGAAAGGGACAAATAGATATAGAAACATTGATAAGAAATAACCCTTGAATGTTATAATTTCTTGGACTTTCCAGAGGTATCCAGCAACAAAGACAAAATCAGAAGTGAATTATTGTCTTGGGCCATCTGGTGGATGAGTTAGGGACAACACCCACTGTAATAATGACAGTTTCTTAAATTTTATATTAATATTTTCAAATGTTCTTAATTATGGATCTGAATCACAAGGGAACATTTATATTATTTCTACTATGAGAAGTATGACATTTAAAAAATTTACTTCAAAATGTTTAAAATTTAACAGGGAGTGACGTCAGAGGAATTGCGGCATGAGAGAACCCCTTGTCCTCTCACCCTGAAATTTAAACAAGTTAAACAACTATAGTTCAACAAAGAAATCCCTGATCAACACAGACACATGCCTGAGAGACCTGCACATTGAAATATCCAGAGGTGGGCAACAAGGAATAAATGGGTAGGCGAGAAGGGAGGAAAGTGCAAATGGCCCACAGACACAGCCCTGCAGTTGGGAGCTCCTATCTTGGCCGAGTGGGGAGAGGGGAGAAAGCCAGTGATAGCAAGACTTCCTTTGGCCGGAAGGAACAGAGATCTTCAGGGGGTGATAGGGCAACCCAGCAGGGCAAGAAGCATGGGAACAGTGTCTAAGTCAGCAGATGTCTGACAGAGTACACGTTTCTACCATGCGACTCTCCACTGTTGGACAGGCAGTGGTTTCAGACAAAGAAACAGAAGCACAAGGTCCTGCTGCTGCTTGGACTCCCAAAAACTCACCTCCTGGAGTTGGGTCCAGAAGCATATCATCTGTAAACCGAGAGCAATTGCAACAGACATGCTGTTTCCTTCTGTGACTGATCCCCAGGAGGCGTGCTTGTGGCAGAACCTCATGGAGGTCAGGAGTTCCTATTATGGTGAGGGCAAAACAAACTCCACCCCTTCCCCCCAAGCAGCACAGCTATACTGTCTTATGGAAACCATGAAGGTTCAAGACTAGGAGATCACAGAAGTAAAAAATCTTGTAATTCAGCACCATCTACTGGAAAATAATAGAAAGACCTCTTCAAAAATAAATGTGTAGGCATAGGAGGACAGTAAAGACCATGTATAACCACAGTAATGAAGATGATGAGAAAGAAAATGAAAAATCCCTAGAAAGTAAGCTAGAACACATGGAAATGTGTGATATAAATGACATAGACTTCAATATTGCAGTTCTGAAAATACTCATTGAGATGCGAGAAAATACAGACAGGCAATTCAATGCATTCAGAAAACAAATCAATAAACAAAATGAGTACTTGACCTAAGAGATTAAAACTTTAAAACATAATGAATCAGAAATCCTGGAAATGAAACATGCAATTAAAGAAAATAGGAGTGAACTACTGCCCAATGCTCATTGGTTGAGCATCGACCTATGAACCAGGAGGTCAAGGTTCAATTTCTGTCAGTGCACATGCCTGGGTTTCAGGCCCAATCCCCAGTGGGGAGTGTGTAGGAAGCAACCAATCAATAATTTTCTTTCATCATTGATGTTTCTATCTCTCTCTCAATGTCCCTTCCTCTCTGATGTGTGTGTGTGTGTGTGTGTGTGTGTGTGTGTGTGTGTTTATCTAACTGAGCTGGGGCTTGACTAGGACTCACCAGGGACCCAATCAGAGGCTGGATTCTCTCATTTTTATATGCCTTCTGTGAAACACACACACACACAGACACACACACACACAACAAGGCTGCTGCTTCTTCCTCGTGGCAATTTTCAACTTTCCAAAGGCAACAATATTTTCTTCCCAGTCCTACCTCATCAATCTCAGATTCTCCACTTCCTGCTGGTTGAAGCTGTGCGTCAATGTGCACTGATGATAAAGGAGCCCCCCAGGCACCTCCGATCTCTCAGGTCTCATCCCTTCAATCTTCCCAAACCTATGGAAAGAATTGGATCTTTGAATCCAGGAAGCAAACAGAACACCTAGTTACCTCAATCCAAAGAGGCCCTCTCCAACGCACTTTGTATTAAAGCTGTTAAAAATTAACGACAAAGAAAAAATTCTCAAAGCAGCCAGTGAAAAGAAGGAGGTGACCTACAAAGGAAAATCCATCAGAATTTCATCCGTCTTCTCAGCAGAAACTCTATAAGCCAGAAGAAAGTAGAACCAAATATTCAAACGTCTGAAAAAAGAGAAATTGCCAGCCATGAATAATATATCCAACAAAATTAATCTTTGAATATGAAGGGGAAATACAGATATACAGAAGCTGAGGGATTTTATCACCAGAAAACCTCCATTGCAGGAAATAATCAAGTTATTCTACCTGAAACAAATAACATAAGGGCACAACACTATGAGTAAGATCACCACAAACTTATACCCTATACAGAGATAATTTGTGATAACAACAACATAAAAGGGGAAGGGGTAAAGGTCTGAACTGGTAAAGGAGGATGGAGATCAGATGCACACAAAGGAATAAAAAGCTACAGTATATATTATTTACAAACCTAATGGTAACCGCACACAAAAAATCCCCAAACCAAGACATATAGCTTAAAAAAAAAAAAAAAGAGGAAACAGAGGAAAGAAGTATGGAATACCACCAAACAAGAACAACAGACAGAAACACAAAGGAAAAGAACCAATGGAGGCACAGAACTACCAGAAAACAAAAGATAAAATGGCTATAGGAAATCCCCATACAACAATAATTATCCTAAATGTAAATGTCTGAATTCAGCAATAAAGAGGCACAGAGTAGCAGAGTGGGTAAAAAACAAACCCCAAGCATATGTTGCCTATAAGAGACACTTCTAAGCTGCAAATAGGAGAACATTCACCTGGAATTACCAACTGAGGTTCAGCTGAGGAGGAGGTGACTTATAACAAGGAAAGACAGAAAACACCTAGAAACTGGTGGGAAGGGTAAGGTCATGAGAGTAGTGGACCTAGCTCCCAGAGGCTGCAGGCCAAGAAAGGAGGGAGCACTGGGCTATGGGAGAGTCTGTTCCCTGAGAAGATAGAGGCTGGGCGCCCAGGCTGGGCTACACAGCCAAAGCACCAGAATCAATTGATATGAGTATGTGATTTTATTTTTATTTTTTTCTTCTTTACTATTTATTAATTATTGTATTATTTTCGATATGAACAACCTCAAACCTATTTTTGCCCCACCCTGTATGTATACATGCCATGCTCATTCCAGCCCCTGAGTCTTTACACTTTTTTTTTTTGGCTCTTGGAATTTTTTTTATTGGTTTTATTGTTTTATTGCTTAAAGTATTACAAAAGGTATTACATATGTGTCCTTTTCCCCCCTGCCCTTGACAATCCCCTGGCCTCCCCTACCCCCCAGTGTCTTATGTCCATTGGTTATGAGC